AATAAAGAGTGTATATGCAGCCAGCTGTGGCAAGAAGGAAACGCTCTGTGAAGACAATACAATAGAATATGTTAATCTCAAAGCAATGGATTTGAACAGATAGTGAGGACCAGTGACAAATGGCAGTTGGCACTTCTAAGCTTGTGACATAGGACAGACTACAAGGTCACTCAAGCATCAATGAAGATTTCACCAAGGGATTTAAATGAAGGAATCTCCCATAGATACACTGGAAACTCAAACTGAGTTTCCATCCACACTGACCGTTAATGGGGTGTACGGGTGGTAGTCTGGGGGTCCAAACAATGTCTGGGGCTAATGCAATTTAACCTGGAATAAACCTGGAAATTTAGACTTATTCAGGATGGAAAGTTCTAGACCTTCCAGAAAGGCCCACATCTTCCCAGATATGGACCCTCGGGGACTGTCTCTTGAGATCACCATGCAGTGCCACTTTCCCCTCCCTGCCCCCGTTTCACCCCAAAATTTACTGTAAATGCCTCAGGAGGCATGAAGCTCCGGGTACATCAACATTATGTGTCAGGTGCTTTGGAGAGAGGAGAGGGAATCCTCTCTCTTGAGCTCTTGGCATCATTTTGACATGACAGGAGATCCAGAGAAGCCTCACGCCTTGGTGCCAAAATGTTTACAGTAAGTTTGGAGGGTCGAAGTGGTGCAAATGGAAAGAAGGGAGCCAAGGGTCATAGCCACCATGCTGATTATGAATTAGCACGGGTGTGTATCTGGCCACCACCACTCCAGAAAGGAAAGCTTTAATTTCCCCCCAAAATGAGACTTGTTAATTCAGGTAGAATTGTTATTTTAAATGCTGATTCCACTTGCATTTGGGCCAGTGTGGAAGAGCCCTGAGTTTGCATCTACACTGGCTGCATTATGCTCTGACTGGCAACCAGTATGGAGTTTTGCCAGAAAAAGCAGGCCAAACTCTGTGTAGCACCTCTTTGGTGTCCAGATGGTCTAGCTTGGGTGAGACTGCATCAACCCTGCTGAGCCATCTTCTCCACTGCTGATCCCCATTGGCAAAGGAAAAAAAAGGCAGATTCATTTTTTAAATATAAGAACTAATTATCAGGGTCAGCCCTAGTAATAGGCAGAATAGGAGTCATCATGGAAACTATCATAAAATTAATTAATTAACTAAATAAAAGTATTTCCCTCTTTAAAATAATTTGGCTGACGGTATTAGGCATATTGAATTCAGCGGGTTGGTTCATAGAAGAACAAGAAAGGTCCTTCATCATCAATAGCAAAGTGACAGGTTCATTTGGCAGTCCTGAAGTGCTGGATGGTAAACACTTCAGCACTGCATTAACCTAAAGCTAGATTCAGCTGATTTTTTTTTATCCAAGCCAGTTGTGAGATTTATGAGCAGCAGATGGTCTTGGCAGGTACAGGAGACATCCAGATGCACTCTTGCTTCTATTGACCCTAAGCTTTGCCATTTCTGTATCAGAGGTAAAGGTGAATTTCTGTCAAACACTTTTCCAGGACTGTAAGCCATATGGACTTTATAAAGGGACGACTTGGCCCAAGGTTCCAATACACACAATGAAATATCCTAAACCAGTTTATTTCTTATTAACACATTCAGATTAGGGAGGCTGAAGAAAATATTTTTTCCATCTTTCTCATATCTTGGATGTGGTCTATAAAGTGTTAAGGTGAAGTGGTTCTGTCAGCACCATTTCCATCTGTGCCTTTTCCTTTCTGAAAAGACAAAGCTATGACTAAGGCCCATTGCAATGCCATATAATGCCGTTTATACATTGAACTGCATTCTATGGCATTGTAGACACATATAATGCAGTTCAAAGCAGATGAACTACACAACAAAACTTCATTATATGGCAATGTAGATGGAGCACAAACCCTACTCTTAGCATTAATAATAAACGATAAAGCTTTATTTACATCCCACCCCATCTCCCCAAGGGAACTTGGGGTGGCTGAGTCCAAAAGGAAAATTTCCTCCTAAAAGATTTTCTAATCTGATCTAAGAGAATGGGAATACTGAGTGTAAAGTGTTTGTGTGAATCTATATTCTCTCAGAAAGGATTTTAATGTATGTTTTATGGCTGCCTTCTTTTAATGTTTCCTTTATTGTAAGCATGCATTTAAAGACTAAACAGGAAGAGTTTGGTCTAAGAAATTACATTCTAATGGTATACTGGAATGTATCTGAGTTTTCTTTAAAAAAACATATATATATATATATAGTTGCTAGGCAGAGAGACAGCAATTATCTCTCTGTTAGGAATATTACCTATTATTCATGCCACAAGTACTGAAGAAATTTGATGTATAGCAAGGGGAGGGAAAAGATACTGTAATGAATGTAATGGATTTGGCACACAAATGAAAGCTTTTTCTATGTTGAAAAGATGGAATCATTATATAATTCATTTTTTTAAAAGGCCAATTTGTAGGAAAGCAGAAAATGCTATGACGTTGACCTGGTTAATATGCTGACCAAGATATCCACTGGAGAGACACAGATTCAGGGAGTTATACTCCCACATCTCCCTCGACTGCTTGATGGTTACTCAGTATAATTTCATATTTACTAAATGGTGAAAACAGATTAAATAGGCTGTCCATCCTTTCTTTCTTTTTCTTGTCATTATTTTGAATTTGGTGTATTGAACCAACAGGCTATTACTGCAGAAGGAAAGCAAGCAAACAGGGAGAGAGAAAAGATTTTTTCTCTCTCAGCACTTCGTTGCTCTCACCTTACTGGGATGTGATTGAGAATATTTTTTTTCCTTTACAAAAAAAATCTTTTCAAACCTTCCATCATCATTGATTCAGAGTCCAATTGATTCATTGTCAATCTGGGCTGATGACGATAGTTAGCTTCACTCTGCAGTATGCACTTTATTAAAAGTGGGAGGGGGGAGAGAAAAAGGCAACAGTTCTCACTGTTGTTCTAATTTGAGGGAGGGTCCTTTGGATAAAGGAGTTAAAGATCTACTTATCTAAATCTATTGCCACTAAAACGTAAATACAATATGTAAGATTGGTTTAAGGAAGGGGCATGAACACTAGTAGAATAGAATAGTGAAAAATGTTGTCTCTGTTTTGCTGTACATGTTAGCATGTACAATAAGTTCCTGCTATGGGGCCCATATTTTTAGAGAGCCAAACAATGTATACAAGTATCTCCTACATAGAATCATAAAAGCTTAGAGTTGGAAGGATCCATAAAGGTGATTTGTTATCTAGCTTTGCTGTCTTGCTCAGTCCTGGACTTACCCATGAGGAGACCTGCAGCCACAACCCCATTCTAGCCAGCTGATCCAGCAACCTCCAAGGAGAGAACATAAAAGGTCTGACCTAGAGGCCTGGGAGAGCTTTGTTGGAGCCTGCTGCAGGAGAGACCCTGAGGCTTGAGCATTTGTTATCCAGCTTTGCTGTCTTGCTCGGCCTTGGGCTCACCCATGAGGAGACCTGCAGCCAAACCCTCATTCCACCTTAGCACTCCTGCACTTTAAGATCTCGTGTTTTAAAATTGTGGCACCTTTACCCTAATCCTGTACCTTTCTAACTAGCACTTTATATTGCCTTACCCCATGGTAGTAATGCATAAGACCACTTTTACTAGCAGGCTTATGTTTGGCCTATGGGGGGAGGGTGATTGGGAAACTATGTTTTAATCTGTTTTATTGTATTTATATGTTTTAACTCTTTTATTATTTGAAATGTTATATTTATTATTTATATGTATAATGAGGCATTGAATTTTGCCATAATCTGGAAGCTGCTCTGAGTCCCTTTCAGGGTGAGATGAATGGGGTATAAATATAGTAAATAAATAAATCTGTTCCAACCTAACAGACAGGAACACACCCAACTAAAACATTTCTTAAAGATGTCCATCCAAACATGACATCTTCATTGTACATCTCTTCCTCACCCTAGTGTGGTGAGCTGAATTTGGAGCTGATTTTCCTGTGTTAATGTTGTGTGCTGAAGATCTCCTTGGAGATCATTGGTTCAGAAAACAGAATATAAACTTTTAAATTTAGATTTTAAAACAAATAATAAATGCTTATGTGGAAGCCTGCTTATATATAAAATATGAATATATATTCATATTTTCTGGCTTACTTGGCACTTCAGTATTCTCTTTATGCTTAGAAATGGACTAATCTGTGCTTACAAATGGACTACTCCTTATACTGATAGTCAGACAACGTTGTGCAGTTATTTTGCCGTGCATTCCTTAATACATTTTCAATGAAAATGAGAAAATAAAATGTTATGAAGCAGAGAGGGGAGGAGAAGCAGCACAAGATTATAAATAAAGAAAAGCAACAATTAAGGACACAAGAGCAACAACATCCAGGTCAGGTCTGAAACACTGCTGCTTTGGACCAACATTATGTCCATGAAAATGAAATAGAAGTGATTATTGAGGTGTGTGAAACACTTGGAGCTGCAAATTATCCTCCCTGCCATCCCTGTCATTGCATGCAACCAAATCAAAGAAATTCAAACTATGAAACAATTTTGAAAGGTTGGCTTCTGATTGGCAAATTTAGGGTGTGTATGGTCAGCATGCATATGCTAGTTAACTTTCTCATGACAGATGTTTAATGTGTGATGAATTGTAGAATGCACAGTGCCTGAATGAATCATATATCAAGAACTGGGATATGATAATCCTGGGGGGGGGGGGGGCAAAAAAACTCATGGAAGATGGAAATGGAGTGGAAAGAAAAATGAAAAAAATGAAAAGTTAAGCAAATTTCATGGTGAGAGAAAGACTTTAAAAGGAAGAGTAGATGAGAAGAAAGTCAGTAGAGTGAGCAGTACATATGCACTTGTATTACGGTATCCCTGTTCATGTTTTATATTAAAAAAAAACAATATTGAGTGTTTTCTGAATGCCATTAACTTATTGGTCTAATGAATAGCTGCTGTTCTTCCATCCACAAATTTTCCTATTAATGATTTTGCCTTTCTCTTTTTCTGCTAAGCTTCATTCAGACTTGGACAAGGGAGTGGGAAGTGTTACGTATACATTATCAGGAGATGGAGCTGGTACAGTGTTTACCATTGATGAGACCACAGGGGACATTCATGCCATAAGAAGCCTTGATCGTGAAGAGAAGCCTTTCTACACTCTACGAGCTCAAGCAGTGGACATAGAAACAAAGAAGCCACTGGAACCTGAATCAGAGTTCATAATCAAAGTTCAGGATATTAATGATAATGAGCCAAAATTCCTTGATGGGCCTTACGTTGCAAGTGTTCCTGAGATGTCTCCTGTAGGTAAGAAAGATTTCACCTCTTAACTTGAACCTTTTGATCTCATTAAATATATCTTTCCATTTACTGATTAAACTAAAAGTTAAAAATACATAAGTATCTGTGTTGGTTTTAAGTATTGGATAGCATGAATAAAACTATGTTAGCAACACATTAAAAGCATTGGAGACGACTATTGTATTTTGCACAGAAATTCCATTTATGTGATCTATCATTTGCATGAGGTCTGAGTAGACAATAGCACATTAGTGTTATAAATCAGAGGTCCCCACTTTGCTATCACCCAGTTTGTTCCTGCAGAATTCTGGACAATGTAGTTCAGTAAAGCAGATGACCTCTTTAGCTGAGAAACAGGGAAACGAGTGCCTTTGCTTTATAATGCTAATCTTGCTTGGTCACAGAGATGTGAGTGTTGGTGGTAACTCTGTTTTGAGGTTCTGTTTTGTAGAATATGGCATGACCTTCCTCTTCCCCATCCTACTCCAGATCCATGGGGTAGGTACCTATGGCTTTCTTCATCCATGGTCAATCAAATATATCCATTCTGGGCATTTTCTATACTCTTCTTGGGCCAGAAGTTCTTAATTTCAATAGGATTTGCTATTACCTACAGGTTCTCATATCTGTGCACAGTTTGGGGTTGCATTTCCTGTGCTTATACGCATCATAATGTATATAACAGTTGCCTATTTAGGGGAAATCGAGATGAACATGACTCAGCAATAGTGTCATAAGCCTCTACTCCATTTAAAAGTGGGGAGTTAACAGATTTTCAGAGTTCAAGCCAAATAATCCAGCCAAGAGGTAATAACAGCAGTATAACACATGAGAGAAACCAATGGTCCATACCAAGGTCGAAAGAAGAGTCTAGAATCCAAGGTCAATCCAAAATCTGAAAGCCAGAGTCCAAAGATCACAAATCCAAGATAGGCAACAGTCCAAGATCATGGCTCCAAACACTGACATTGCTACCAGCAAAAAGGTGGCACCCTTGGGCTCCTTAAATGCTAGATTTTCAGGTGTTATCTATTGCTAGTTCATTTCTAGAGGACCTGCAAAGTTAAGCCTTCTCTCTTTGCAGGTTCACAAAAGCTGGGACACTTAACCCTTCCTCTTTCTACGTAGAGCTTGCTCGTGCTTGCTCTGCAAACTGAGAAGTGGTAGCTAGTTACCTACATGGGCTCTTCTTCTAAGCTCAACCAAGGGAGCTGCTGGGTACTGCTGGGCTCCAGCTCCAATACTGGCCCTTCAACCAGCATCTCCTCATTCTCACTGTCTAAGTTATGTGTGACAAGTAGTCTAACAATCCGCCAAGGCATTTGCATAGGGTTCTTGACATGTATCTATGTTTAAATTTTGTTTAAGCGTTGGCACCACTATTTATTGATTTGTTTGTTTGTATTTCTGCATGAAATTTTGATATGCACTATATATGGCTGGAAAATCAGAGATGACATTGAAGATGTCTTGGATGTAGTTTGCTGATTGTATTAAGGAGGAGGATTGGTCTGTAATTCACAGGGTCAACCTTTTTCCCCCTTTCTGTTTATTAATGGGGACAATGATTGCAAGCTCTTGGTCCTTGGGATTTTGCCATATTTGTCAATCCATGTAAAAAGTGAGGCTAGAATAGGGGTCCAGAAATCCAAATTGTTATTGATGACCTCTGCTGGAATTAGATCTTCTCCTGGGGCCTTTTCTAGTCTTAACTGGGTAACAAGATTCTTCATCTCTGTTGCTGTCACAGGTGGCCACATTGAAAGATTTCCTGTATCTAGGTTGGAGCGGTCACTTTTGGCATACTTCCATAATTCCTGGAAGCATGCCTCCCAAGTCCCTGGGGAGATATGAGAATCCATCATGGGTTGGTCATATCTTTGGGTATTTGATGTGATAGGCCAGGAGGTGGCTGAGTTTTTGGACTCTTTGATGAGCTGTGCCCATTTGTTTTTCATGAATTCTCATTCTATTTCATAGAAAGGAAATTGCCTTGGGGAAAAATGTACAAATGAGGAGAATTATTTATTTATTTATTTACAGTATTTATATACCACCTTTCTCACCTCTGTGGGGACTCAAAGAGGAGAATAAATAGAGACATGCTTATACTTACTTTATTTATGTGCTCAGACAAACAAATCAGTATCCTGTCTTTCATTGTACAGGGTTTTTTTGACAGTCTGCAGACTCCCCAGCTTCCCAGCCTTCAGTTAATATTCTAGGGAAGACCTCATGGAGTATCTTCTCCCATGCGGGTTTTTCTTTTCTTTTTTCAGATCAGAAAGTTCAGGTGGCCAGGGAGACTTCTGGATGTTAAAAAGATATGTACAAGAAAACACAAAAGACACACAGCACAATCAGCCATCTTACAATGATAAGATCAATAATGTCATGTAATCATGAGCATAAGCTACTAGATAGAAATTCCTTAAATGAAAAGCTAGAAATTCAAACCAAGTTCTAAAGGGCTCTAAGACTGAAGTAGACAAACAAAAGTGTTTGTCATACAGGAAGAAAGGTTTTAGGAAACTGTAAGAAACTTTGCATTGTGCTGTCTAAACATTTTCAGGCTTGACACGTGTATTATTATGTCTTTGTAGTGATCCAGCTAGCATTCTGCTAGATTAGTTTCAAATAATTGATTTTCCACAATATAGATTTTGTTACTGAAAAAAGGAAGTTGTTATAACTGCAATGTGTTATAACTGCTGTAGTATGGTATGGATGTCTGGAGATTTCAAGCAGGGATGAAAAGCTTGCAAAAGTTCCAAACAGACCAGCCAATGTTAGTTGATAATGGGAGTAACAGCTCAATAATATATGAAGACTTAATAGATTGTCCACCCCACATCTAAGGTACCCCTTTTGTGCATTTTATTATTTATTTATTTACAGTATTTATATTCTGCCCTTCTCACTCTGAAGGGGACTCAGGGTGGATTACAATGCACACATGCACGGCAAACATTCAACACCATTTTTGACATACAAGACATACAGACAGATAGAGGTCATTCAGCAGTTTTTCCACTTCCACTTCAGATCCTGGAGGTTGCTCAATTCTGGCCACAGGGGGAGCTGTTGCTTCATCCACTATGACACTGACCCTTTTGATTGTCGTATTTCCTCCTTGCTCTCCGGCATTTTTATGGTGTCATAAATTAACCTTCCTCCTTTTAAGCAGTCTCTAATTTCTCTACTCACAGCCCAACTGTTTTTGAACTACTTAGGTGAACAGTAATCTGGGCTATTTAACAATTGGGAGCTCAACCCTGACTTGAGCTTCAAACTTGCCATCTTTTGGTTGGCAGTGATTTATTGCTGCTAGCAATTAACTAGCTGTGCCACCAGCCCAGCTCATTATGTTACAAATAGCTTTGCAATACTCCTGTAAAGATGTATATTGACCCTCTTTGTATTCACCTTGCTTTCAGAAACCCCCCTTTTTTTTTCAGTGCTTACTGAGTTGCATTAGAGAATCTTGTTCAGATTTCATGGTGGGGTTGCTATACTTAGTTGCCTCGGTTTAATTATTTTTTACTTAGTAATTACCCAAAGAAATATAACCTATGCGAGAAACACTTGTTGCATCAGCCACAAAGAATCAAGAATTAGTGTACATGCATTTTGAATTTTTCTATCGTGCCATCTCATAATGTAGTATTTTTTCCTAGTTTGGAAGAATGGACGTTTATGTAAAATATTATTTAGATATATGTTGCAATAACTCTGGCTACTGCTTATAATTCTATAATAATAATAATAATAATAATAATAATAATAATAATAATAATTTAGTCCTATTATTATTATTTTATTTATTTGTATTCCATGGTGGATTACAAATAAATTTAAGGCAGATACCAACAAACAAAAAACACAAAGGCAAACATTCAATGTCTCACCTCAAATTCGAACATGAATACATTAACGGCTCATCCAATCTCAAAGTAAACCAACATCAAACAACTAATTATTAATTAGAACCTTAAAATTACACAACCAATTACACTATAAAATTATATCTAAATTTAAAAACATCAAATTATTTTGGACCATATAAACATGAGCCTCCATTTACTGCACTCCCGAAGGTTCACTAAAAAAAAAAATTAGAATTAGAATTAGCTGAATTGCAAATATTCAACCGTACTGGCTGACCTGCCAAGGCCAGAGTACAATGAAGATATCCAATCAAGTTGAACTAACTGGCTGTTGTTCCCTAGTCATCTTCCTCACCATATGCTAAAGTGCACAGATGGGTTTTTAATTGTTTTTGAAGGAGAGGAGGGAAGGTGCCCTTTTGTTTCTTTTGGGAGGATATTCAAAAGGTGGAGGGTGATTGCAGAGAAGGCCCTCTCTCTCATCCCCACCAGCTGTACTTGGGACCGAGAGTAGGCCCTTCTTCATCGATCGCAGTGTCCAAATAGGTCAAATAGGTCAAATAGGTCAATAAGAGGAGATACAGTTCTTTAAGTAGCCTGGACCCAACCCATTTAGGGATATATATGTAATGACCAGCACTTTGTATCTAGCCTGGAAGCAGGCCGGCAGCCAGTGGAGCTCCCACAACATGTAACCATCTTCTTTGATTAGGAAAATGCAATGAACTGATAAGAAATATGTGTTGACAAAATGTATTGGAACATGTGGCTATCTAAAATGTTCTGAAGAACTCAAGAATGAAGTCACTGCCCACTCCTGCACTTGTAAAGAAACAGAGGACAAACATGGTGCATTAGGGAGAGATAAAACGTAAAGAAACTGTTTATATGAAGTTAGGATTTTTGTCCAGCTCATCCTGTGTTATTTATGAATGCTTAGTAAAATGCTCAGTTTGAAGTTTTCAATGTCATATCTTACTTCATCTTTATAACTGGAGATGGCATGAATTGTTCTGCATGCAAAACATGTACTGTAGTGAGAGTTAGACCAGCCAGAAGACAGAGACAGCAACCTTAAGTAACAAATGTAGGAGCGAATACCTCTTACATATATATACT